TTTGTGCAGCAAAATTGCGGCGTTACTACCTTACACTTTAATCTGTCCATCACTTTTAAGTACCTAGTCGTCATTCCTGTCTCAAAGTGACACCAGCTAACTATGAATTGGTTCGACATCAATTCTTTTCTAATCATGAGTCAGGCTAATTCCGGCAATTTGATCTCTTACTTTTCTTCTCCACTTGTCTGTTTTACTTGTGCTTACTGAAGCACAATAGGACATAGGGCGGTGACAGCAATCATCACTTGGAAGAATGTCAGTAGGAGGAAATGGGAAAGATGATGAGACAGTATCACCATCTCTCCAGTCATATAGCCCCCTGTCCCCTAAGGGGCAGGTTTCGCATTGTCATAGGTGTTAGTGAAGGGGAAGTTCTTGCTGCTCGCCCTCAAGAAATTAGATTTATCCGCCATAGCTTAAACATCGGCAGGTCAAGAATTCCTACTGGAAAATGTTGTCACTAATATAACTGATTGTGGAGGCCCTAAAAAAAATACTAGCAGCAAAGTAGACCTTAGCGGACGTCATGAAGCATCATTATCTGACGATTTTATTGACTAAATTATACTTTTGGCCGCGTGGTTTGTTAAATGACTTACAACAAATTTTGGGGAGAGTGGACTCGAAATCATACCAATGATCATTTGAGAGACAGTTGGGAAATCAAGGTAACGGCGATAGCTTCATTTTGACTCTTCTAAGACCTGTTGTTAGGGATGAAGTTGTCACAGTGCTGGTTGAGTCCCCGTGATGAATCCCTTGAGGTGACGCGGACTGGCCTTTTGGACGTGAAGTGCATTTCAAGCTATTACTTGAAGCAGACACCAAACAACTTTAATGTCACCAATCAACTCGAGATTGCAAGTCTCATCTGAAATTTTGCCATTCCATTTGTCACAGCATGGAATAATTCAAGTTTAAGAAGCAAATATAGTGACATTAGCACTTCTGAACAAACAGTATGATTGGATCCACAACCATGCTGCCAACAGCTGCTACCTGCATTCAAAATCAAATGTTACTGTTTTGCTTATTTTAGACAAACCGGTTACAGCCTCCGACCAGCACAATAACACCCAGTCTGTGAGTTGTCATTTTTTCTGTGTGCTCTGCTAAAACTATGAAGTATGATTCAGTAACATGTTTATTTTAATACTTCACTTTGGACCCATGAGTACAGGCAGCTGATGAGACTCAATTTCATCCACGTAATCCCACTCGCTTGGAGCGCAAGACGGGTTTTAGTGGACTGAAATACCAAGGTATGCCCTTTTATGTCTATTCTACACTTACTCTATCCTCTGTTAAAATGCAGTACACCAAGTCTTGCTTGAGGCCTCAGGAAGGCATGATACTATGGTGGATATTTATTGTCGACGTAGAGAAGGAATGGAAGGCCACTGGCATGGGTCTTAGAACATTTCCATCAGCTGAATTACAAAGGTGGAGCATTAGGTGCCCGCAAAATCAAAATGATGAGTTAAACATAAAGTGCAGGCATTACATGGTCCTTGTCCCTTTAAACGCATTCCCTGTCGCCCCTCCTTGTTCAACCCTTAGCTCAGTTCATCACAAAGTGGTCAGTTCTACAAAGAATCACGTCCATAAGCTAAATATGAATCTCGTTTGAAATAGCGTGTACATAAGAAAATACTTCGCCACGTCATCACCTACCCCTCCTGGCAATTCTATTAAAAATGGAGTATTGTCATCTATGGGAACTGTGTTGAAGAAGAGGGAATCTTGCTGGCCACCTCGGACGTGCATCGCTTGTCATAGCAGCACTGACCCAAATGCAGGATCATTTTGTACAGGATGAGGTCTAGAATGAATACAATTTTAAATAAAACCGGAGCTACGATGACAATCCAATCAATTGGATTTTTTACACATCATTTCTCCCGTTGAGCAAAGCGCACCAAGAGGGAGAATTGCTAGTTAGACTGAGTTAAAGAATTGACAAGATACTCAGGTATCAATCGTTGCTTGTGGAAGCACTTTTGTTCAAATGTAACACAGAGGAGGAAGTGTCCCATCGTCCTACCACTATGAATCACCGTGTATGCAGCGAAATTCGCTGGCATTTCTATATTACGGTCTATCTTACTCCCTAACAGACCGCCTTGCGGAACTTGGAATTTGAGTGATTTCCACAAGCCACTTATCTACGCAAACGCTTGTTATGTAAATTGCAGGAGTTAAACCGGGCCCATAGAGCAGACATCGTATTTAACAGACGTCCAAAAATGAGTGTTCAAAACAGAGGGTTAACAGTGTAGGACAAACAGGTGAAACTTACCGACAGACCGACTCACCTCAACAGCGATTTATGAGGCATATGTAGACTCGGTGGTAAGCAGGCTGTATTGATAAATGAAATAAATTTCGTACTCTGCTAATCTATCATTTGTAGGACAAGAAAAATGACGCTTCTGAATATTACGGGCTTTCATAAGGGTTTTAAATTTGTAGATAACGTGGAGGTGGGCATGGCGAATATTTAGTTATCCTGCCATCACTTTCAGCTACCGTAGCCCCTCTTTCTACTGCCACGTGGGCAGCATTGCATCTACTATCTCAACACCTCCTTTCGAAGGGTTTTACGGGCATCCCTATTGCTTTTATATTTGGCGTTTGCAGCCGTCACCTCTATTCCTTTTCAGGTGGATGGCATCAGATTCCAAAGCTGCCAACTCGGGGATCTATTCACTCAAGAAATGCTGAAAATGCGGGTTCTTCCATGGTCTCCTCCACTCTTCACATGCTCATTTCCCTACTCGTTGGAGTTCTGTGTATTTAGTCCGCACACTCATCAACTTTCCTGGCATCCACCAATCCCCACTATAACCTCAATAGTGTCCACTAGAAAAGAAATCAGACCTGTTTCTAAACAAATCTGTCAGCCAGCAAGCAGCATCTCGTCAGAAGTAGAGTTTGGACTTTGCTTTAGTTGTCAGATGAAAATGAACGCGGTTCGGTAGATGACAAACAGAAAGGGGATATTTCCAATGGCACTTGAAGTTTCAGTCGTCAGTGCAGTTCAAATTTAGATTTCGTTGGTGCAAAACTTCTTGGGATTTGTGTTAGTTGTCAAAACTATGGAGAAAAGTATGACGTGGATACTGCCTGAGATAACATCGGAAATCAGTTGAACCTAGTTTTAAGCATCACAGAATGGGAGAAAAACAAGGAGTTAGAGCTAACGATAAGACTAATTTGCCTTCAATTCGCCTTCAGCTTTCTGCAAGTTAAAATGGAGAAATTTGTGAGCTTCGGTTTGCGGCTAGTAATGCATCACCTCACCGTCGAACTTTCGTGTCTTCGGCTTTTAGACTCTACAAATGCCGTCTGCTTGAAGAGGCTGCATTATGCCTTCTCATAGCGACAACTTCATCCTTTAAATTGGGAAAAAGTATACACCTCTGACAAAAAGCATCTCTTTACAAGATAATTACCTATATTCCCAGTCTATTACATTCTATCGTGACTTCACCATGTGGAGTTGAAGTAAGAACTTAAGTATAGTTATGATTTTGAGATCTTCAGCCTGTTGGATGATATACGACTGACTTCGGTTGCTAGCGTCTGTTCTGCAGCCAAATCAGGGCCAGCTACAATGGACAAGTTGACTGACATCTCAGGTGGAGAAGAGGTGAAAAGTTATGACCCCATGTTGCTGTCCGTGCTGTCAAGCATTTTCTGGTACACCCTTGAAGGAGTGTGATAAATCTACTTTTTCAAATACCTAAACATTTAAATGCTCAATCATTGCCTCACTACCAATAGCTCTCTTTCATTCTGAATTACCTCGTTACCGCTCTGCTTTGACTGTAACAAGTCCTCTAAAAAAGCTATAATGAGAGACGTGGGAGGATTGAAAGAAACAAAATTTGAACTGAAATATAAGGCGTCGCCTCTCAGTTAGCTAGATTTCTGACCGCAGCTTCTTTTGCTTGGATTCAGCATATTTATGGACTTAGATGTGACTAATTATTTTTCCTAAGTGGGACAACAGGCCTTTCATGAAGATCAGCTTCTGTTCCACTACTTCAAGGCCTGCTTCGATGACGGCCGTTGTGTAGCCTACGCACTCGGAAATCTTCTTCTCTTGGATCTTGTTCGCTTGCCAATGCTATAGCCATAGTGTACCGAGTCTTTCTGGACGTTGTAATAGCGTATGCCAGTACACAAGAAGGGTCTATTGGTAGCCGCCGAAAGGACTTGTCTGTTTGGATCCTTGAATGGAGCGCTTTGAAGTTCGATGCGTCATTACGGATGAAGGAATTATGCAAATTTTGTCTCAACTTGAAGACTTCTACTTGTTACTCAAATGAGGAAATAAGAACAGGAATGAGACAGTAGGCTACATCAAGAAAAAAATATTTGTGCTCCTTGAAATTTCTTCTGTCTTGTTTGTGACAAACCTCAATTGCTAATTTGGAGTAAACAACCTCTACAACGTTCATGCTGCTCTAGCAGACATTACCATTCCACATAAATCGATCAAGCAAATCAGTGAAAATTGGCCGGAAGAAATACAGAAGGGATATGGACTAAATGTTGGGGTGTCAAGATCCTCGATCCTGATAACCAGCCTACGTAATCAGCGCGTAGAGCGTCAGATCCAGGACGTCTGGTGATCGCATTGAGAAATCAATGGATATCATTTGTCGAAGTGGGGCAGGATGTCGTGAGATGGGTTGACCATGTGGATAAATCAACTCCTGTCAAAGCCTCTCCGATCTGGTGTCAATCAAGCGCAACCATTGTGTTAGTCTGTCTTTTGCATCGTCTGACTAGTGTAGTTTATCAGGCAGAAAGTCTACAGATTGCAGTCTTGGATGAACCCTCAGTCAGCTGTCCTACTTTACTCCTCACTTTCTCTGCAGTTGTGCCTGGACACATCACAGCAGATCTGTGGGTTGAGAAAGCCTCCCGTGGCAAAGAAGTAAACACAAGATACACTACATCAAGTTCCATTGATAATGATAATGCAACGAATGTTAGTCACGTATAAGTAC